AAAAAAAAAAAGAAATTAAAAGAAGACAAAAAATGTGTTTAGTGAGAGTATTAACAGAGTTACTACGGTCTTGTTACAGAATTATTCCATTCGGATTTGTAACCGTCAGATCAATTATCCCCGACGATTACATGATGATCTAACGGTTCCAAATCACGACGGATTGATTCCATAACGGAACCGTAATATTTCCCCGTGTTAATATATGGTAGATGGCCACAAAGTTCGAAGACCTACAACTACTTGTTGACACCCTACAAATTTCCACTCTCAATCTTTGCAACTATAATCTTGAAACAATCTACCTTCTTTTAAATTTCAACTTACAAATTCTCCCACTCAAATCTTGATCCAAATATATCTCCTAATGGCCCTATCAAACAAGGACCACCAGACTCCAAATGAATCAGCCATGGCAATTATCCAAGCAAGCGCTTTTTACGAAGACAATCTCAAAAACTCATCATCAATTCATGCTTCCTCCAGCTCAGACGACATGTACGTTTTATCTCATGACAAGAAGAGCCTTTATCAAGAGCCCGAAAGCCCAAATAAGGCCAAAGTCGGGCCGGCCAAGAATCTCATGACCACGAGCAACTCATCCCCCGTTTCGAGCCGCTGCAGCACAAACTCCAGCGGGTTAGGCTACCATCACTCTAGTTACAACTTGTCCGAGGAGGGCAATTCTGTAATTAGCTTCGGTTCCGATTATGGTGGCAGTTTCGTGCACTCGGGTGGATCGTTTTCCGGCTTCTATCAACAAAACAATAAGGAAGCATATCCGTTGTGGCCTGAAGAAGACGAACTGCACGTCACGAATCATGGCTTGCTCGAGACTTCCGGTTGGATGAATGATGGTGAGACGACGGCTACAGTTACTAATGGGATTCAAGAGTTTGAGAAAGATGATGCAAGCCGCAACAAACGTCCATCCAAAGTAAGTACAACAAAATAGTTTAAGTATGAAAACGAGTTAGCTAGCAAGTGGAATCCGAGGAATCTAACAATTTTAAAAAAAAAAAATAATTGCAAAATCTTGAAATAGAAAGATGTATAATATTGAGTGTTGTTATTTGGTTTTTTCTTAAAAATATTTAACTATTTTCTTATGAGCATGTATAATGATTGAAATATTATTGGTATTATGAGTACAGGGAGAAAACTTGCAAGCTCTCAAGAAAAAGTGTGTTGTGGGATCAAGTAATAGTGACTCAAAGAAGTCGAAATCAAAGCCAACGTCGACGTCAAAGGATCCACAAAGTGTTGCAGCTAAGGTATAATTAATAGATGGTATATATAGTTCGTTATTTTACGGATTATTGTTTAATAATCGCAAGAAATTAAGTGAACGGATCGAATGAAGTAATATTGACGTTTTGGTGTAAGGTTTGCGTCATTAACCGGACATTTTGTTGTACAGAATCGACGGGAGAGGATTAGCGAACGATTAAAGATATTACAAGATCTTGTCCCTAATGGTTCCAAGGTACACAACATTTTTCTTTTTGTCTTATTTTTCTCTTTCTTTCTTGAAAAAGTTTAATTTCGATTCTGCGGTTCGTTACTTGGTGCAGGTTGATTTGGTGACTATGTTAGAGAAGGCAATTAGTTATGTTAAGTTTCTCCAGTTGCAAGTGAAGGTGAGAATTTGTGTGCATAACTCTTTATAATTTTGGTGCAACTATTTTTAGTTTGTTGATAATTGTGTGATTTTAATTAAAGGTTAATTTTGCACTGTGTTTGTAGCAATCAAATTAGAAATATTTATTATAAAAATTTTATTTTAACTAAAAAAAATATAAACAAAGTAAGAAATTTAATAATAAATGTCAATTGTTCTTCACGCTATGACAGGTAAGTCGCCACAGGCAAGAATGTGTATAAAAAAATTTGGGGAGGTGATACAGTCCGATTACGGAACCATTTCGTCGTGATTTGTAACCGTTAGATCATTATATAATGGTCGGGAATAGTTTATCTAACAATTACGAACCGACGGAATAGTTCCATAACGGGACCGTAACATTTCCATAAAATTTGATGTTCTAATACGCATAAATCATACTAAAGAATTTTGGGACTCAACAGAAATTATAATTAAATGCAGGTATTGGCAACTGATGAGTTTTGGCCAGCACAAGGTGGAAAAGCTCCAGATCTTTCTCAAGTTAGGGAGGCGATTGATGTTATTCTTGCCTCTCAAAGGGACCGAAACTCGACATCCCAATGAAAATATGCGTTACTTGAAGGATTGAAGCTCAATTACCAAACAATGGAAGCTAACTTTTGTTCCAAAAATCAAAATACGACTTTCTCATGGAATGAAATAAATGGGTACATATATCCTTGAAGTTTGTTGGTGCTTTTGATACTCGTTCGGCATCCTCAAATAGTGTTGTAATGTTGGGGTCCTAAAAATTTTTCTCCCAAAATACTATAACCGCGATAGTTGGTAGCACAACTAAGAAATTGACCAACATCACTATTAGATTAAAATTTACCAAGATGGTCCCTATCAATATAAATATAACAACGACCGCCAAACACATGAAAGTACTAAAGATTAGGAGACGTACCTTTCTGGATCTCATATGATGTTAAGTTCGTATATTTTCAACGAAATACATGATTGGTGATGTAACACGCTGTATTGACAGCCTCAGCCCACCACCTTACTCTTGCTATCTTATGCAATGTTCTATTTTTTCTTTCCGCGACATCCTCTGCTTCACTTTTGCAAAGAGCGCGCTTGTGAGATGACCCTTGTATAGAGGGATGCCGTGGTAGATGACGAGAAGGTCACCGCGCGCAAAACCTGTGTGCACGTGGACCCATTGCGCACTGATCCACAATGAGAGGGGATAAAATGAAGGTACTCTTTTGCATGCTGACGAGCAGACTAGTGACTGAGCCATAATGCTCCAGAAGGTGCATAAGCTCGAGCAGTCCATCATTATCCTCACGAGTGAAGAAAATGATGTCATCCATATAAGGGAGGTGCGAGATGGAAAGACCATTGCCACTTGTGTTGTAGGTCATCCTCGGGTTTTCACAGATGAAGGCATCAATGCTGTGAGAAAGGTAATCGGCTGCCAGAACAAAAAGCGAGGGAGAGAGAGGATCCCCCTGCTGGAGGCCCTGGGAAGAAGAGAAAAACTCGGTGGGGATGCCATTAACCTGAAACGATAACGTGCAGTGCTCCACACACGCCTCCGAAACATTGACCCGCCGCTCCGGGAAGCCCATCCTGACCAGAATCTCTTTGAGAAAAAGCCACTCGATCCTTTCATAAGCCTTGGCCATGTCAATCTTCAGCGTAAGGTTTAGGACTTACAACCTATATTCGCATGAGAGATATCATGGATCATCTCCTAGGTCAAAAGAATGTTATCACTAATGACTCAATCCTTGATGAAACCACTCTAGTTTGGATAGATAAGAGAATTAGGACGAAGAGGGTGATGGGATCTATGAGGATCTCGTTATGTACAAGTTACAAATTCAATAGCAAACGTAAACCTATGCCCAACGGATCTAAGGGTTTGACGTAAAAAACTTACGGCTTAAAATTTTCTGAATCTCGTGGATTTGGATTGACTGGGATGAGCACAGAACAAGTCGATCACGAACAGAACGTCTCGAGCTCGCGATATCGGGTCGTGTGGGGTATCGTATCATGTCACCGGGCTAGTTGTATCTTGTCATTTTTTCGCGATTGGTGGCAGAGAGTCGCCGAGCTCGGTCGCGCGTCGCGGCATCGGGTTCAGGCGGATGTGGCGGTGGTCCTTCTTGTCGGGGCGGTGGTCCAGCAGGTCGGGCTCCTCGCTGGTCGGCTCCGGTTGATCACAGGGTTGATGAATATATGTATCTCAATAACCTTGGGATTTTCTACTGTATATCTCAAGCACCTCTTCGACTTGTATCGGTGGAGCAACAAGAAGAAGATAAAGTTCGAATAGAAACTTAGAGAGAGAAGAGAGGGGCGCGCGATATATATGTATCACGTAGGAGAATTATGATCTCTTCTTCTGTTTTTCATGAGCCTAATATGTATATATAGAGCTACAATAGAGACCCTTAGGAGATTAGAAATAGAGCTCCTTAATTTATTGGGCCAACTGTCGGCTAAGCCCACTCCTCTAATTAAGAAAATAATATTATGGGCCACTAACATAATATTATTGCACTCCCTTTTCCTAGCTTATTATACAATTGAGACTCCAATAATAATTACCCGAACTAGCTCCCCATGTTTAAGATATAATGTCCATTAATTAATTCGATTACTGACAATCAAGAATTAGTTAATTTATTATTATTGCACCGAAGCTAGCGCTCGTTCATCACATTATTACTATGTCAGAATTTAATCCACCTGCAGGGTTTAGCATAATAATCTTTCATGAACTCACTCTGGGGACATCATCAAACTAAACTTACATGGTGACTGTAAATATCCTAACAACACATCATATATGCAACAATATTACACAAGATAGTAGGACATTTAATTCAGTGAATTAAACCTCACCCATGTGAATCAAAATAATATATACAGCATATATACATCTGTTTAATATCTTACGGGTTAAGAGAACGCAGTAATTAACCGAGACCTAGTTCGTTTAGGACGACCAGTATAGAACAAACTTCTCCTCTCTGGTATCCTGTTCAATATATAAATGTACTAGTGCAACTATTCAGTCAAGACAAACTGTAACATTGACACTACAACCGTTCGAATGGGGCGTTCATTACAATCTAGATTGTGAATCACTATTCTTGTCTCGCAAGTAACTTATAGAATGATATTCGGTTCGCCCAATGACGGCCCACTTTATCCAATTGCAAAACAACAGAAAATAGAACTTGTTTAATCTAACAAATGTCTCATTCATAAAGGGTAGAAGTGTAATATCATCCAAACCAAGCTTTTAGTATATAACACTAACAGAGGGCCAAGGCGCCCATTAAGAATTTTGGAAGTGAGCTTGTTGGTCACATTACAAACGCCGATAGGCCTATAATCTGAAAAGAGCTCGGGCAATGTCGTTTGAGTATCAAGACAACTGAGGTTGCCGTGAAGGACTCTGAAGTCTGGGGACCAAGGAAGAAATCTACCAAAACTACCTTAACATTAATCTTAACACGCTCCCAGCAGGCATGATAGAAGAGAAACGAGAAGACTTCCTGGCTAGAGACACTGTTGGGATTAATCCCAAAAAACAACCTTCCTAACTTTTTCACTGCTTGGGAGATCAAAGAGGCCATCAAGGTTGACCGACTGAGAGATGGTAGGGAAGAAGAAAGCGATGAGAGGTGTAAGCACGTCCCTTTCTGAGGTGAAAAGAGGTTTAAAGTGCGCCACAACCGACTCCCGTATCTAGGACTCCTGAGGCAGAGATGACTCGTTGTCCTCGATACTATGGATATACGACTTGACACAGTTCTGCCTCATAAACCCCTGAAAGTACTTGGTATTACGCTTCCCCTTAGCAACCCAACGCACGGCAACCTTCTGCTTCCAAAAATCCTCCTCCATAAAAAGTTGGAGCTGGTACTGAGCGTGACAGTGGTGCATCGCGGTCCTATTATCCAAAGAGGATTCCAGTAAGCTCGCTCAGTATCAACATACGCACTATGAGTTGCAGAGAGGCGCTGAGAGAGGTCTCTAAAAACATCCAAATTCCATTACTTCAGCCTGCGCCGCAGTCTCCCGAGCTTGCCCTCCAGGTTGTGCATGCTGTTTGTCCCATTTTTGTGTCTTTACTTCGGGTTTATTTTCTCTTTATTTTTCCCCTCGTATAGGATTTTTGTAGTTTATTTGGTCCAATTCTGTGATTTTTCCGTTTCTCTCTTTAGTTCGTTTTGTGCGTCTTTTTGCTGTGTTTTGCTTCGTGTTTTCTTCGTGTGTGTGTTTTCAGGAGGTAGGTTGTGTTGATCGAGGACGGGACTACTCGAGCTGAGACCGGGATATCAAGAAGACCCATTAACGTGCTCAGAATACTGAAGGAGGGACCGGGAAAATGGACCGAATAGCTGCCCAGAGCTTCTCGCGACTCGTGAGACGGAGTCGCGACTCGCGAGATGGTCGCGACTCGCGAGATGGTCACGACTCGCGAGTCCAACAGATCCGAAAAGAAGACTCCCGCGAGACAAGTCGCGACTCGCGAGTCAATGTCGCGACTCGCGAGTCAGGTCGCGAGTTTCCCCAGAGTTTATATATTTTTGAAGACGCGCGACTCGCGAGATGTGGCGACTCGCGACTCAGCAAAAGCCTATGTCGCGACTCGCGACTTAGGTCGCGACTCGCGACTTACTCGGCGCGAATTTCGAGGTCGGGATTTTAACATCAGATGTTTGACCTAGACTTCATTATTCACCTTCCAGACCTTGTTTTTACATTATTCTCTCTAGAAAACTCACTCCATTCATTACTTTTACGCTTTGGATTCGTATTGGAGATTGAAAAACTCCTATTTACTGCTTTGGATTTGGATGCTTGTGGATTTTAACATTGGGATTCTCTATTTTAATCGTAAGTTCTTATTTTCTTCAATTGTTGAATTGATGATGATGGCTTGGGTTAATTTGATTGTTCTTGTTCAATTCCACATGAGTGG